CACTGATCACGATTCTGGCATCCATTTTGCTCTAGTCTAAGCATTCATTTAAATGATGGGAAACATGTCTTAATTAGGTACTAGATGCCGGCAGCGCTCTTGCGTTGCCTTGGGCCAGAATTGGATGAACGGAGCTGAGGGCACACACCGGGCAAAACCACCGAAACCCAGACTGAGCTCGGACTGAACCTGAAACCAACCGAAACATCCCAAAAATGCTTGAAAGCACGTGAGATGGGTGTCCCATAAGTTCGTTTTCACCTTAATGTTACGTTTATAGGCTCTCTTGCTTAAAGGCACGCTGGAATTGGTTCGTAACTGAGCTTACGTGGTTGCCATGGCTGGTAGCAATATGCTCCACAGTAACTAATTTCTGTAGACAAAATAGCTTTTGCTAGAGAGCCCGCTTCCTACAGAGACGGCTAACGCCGCAACATAGAGGTCTCCGATACGGGTGCGTCTTGGTATTTAGTCAGCACGTGACCATTCTCGACGATTAAGGGTGATTGAGGCCTACCAGTCTGTACCCAATGTCCATCGCTAACTGGACGCACAGTCAGCAAGTGACGCCGATGATTTGTCGGGAGTCAATCACGGTGAATGAACATGAGTAGGAGAATGAGTGGGAGTAGGAGATATGCGACAGACGGTCCGAGAACGAACGTTTTGCTGATGCACTTGATACGGGGACCGTCAAAAACAGGCGTACTATTATAACCGCTTATCATGAATGTTGCACTGGTCTTCTGTTCCCTTTTCAACATCAGCCAAATTTTGTGGGGGCAAAAACATAGTCTTGCCCCCACGGCCTCCTACCAGTGGGGGCAGTCTGCCCCCACTGCCCCCACGGTGGCGCCGCCCTTGCTCTGCCGATTACCACCGATTTATTTGAAGGATCTGATTCCCGTAACATTCCACCGGTCTGACGCGTCCACCCCTGCCGCCAGTCTGCACGGACCCGGCGCCGACGCCTCCGGCCTCTCTGGAACCCAACGTCACCTGGACGCTCGGTGACCCGACCGCCATCTACACGTGCCTGGAGTCGAAAAAGTTCGCCTGGGGTCTGACCACATTCGAGATGACGTGCTCGCCCACCGGCTGGCCGTGTGTGCCAGAGTGCGAATGTGAGTGGTCCAGTCGCCAGCGCGATTTCAGGGGACCTGCTAGTTGGACTGGAGTTGACTGCTGAGGCAGTTGGCACAGTTCAGGCCAACTGCCTCTAGAATCAAATACACTGCCTCTGCCTGTGTATTTGATTTCACCATAAAAGGAACATTAAGGATTAGAGTTCGGCAAAAAGTTCTAAAATCTTCAATAGAGTTGGGAACTGAACCTAGTGGTATTTGTTATGTTGTTCGAGCAAGTCTGGTTGCTAAATCCGAAAGAATTTAGCAACACAGCATTGCTTTGCTTACACTGTGTCTTTGTAACCAGTGCTCCCTGTCGGAAGCAGTGGCCGGATGACTGCGCCCTCCTCGTGCCGGCAGACTGCGCCGGGTCGCCGAACCCTCCGGCCGGCGTGTACCCCACGGACGTGTTCTACAATCCGGGCGGCCAGGCCACCTACCAGTGCAGCGCCAACATGCAGACGGCGCTCAACGACACCGTGCAGACGCTGACCTGTGTGGAGACCGGCTGGGAGGGCGACCTGCTGCCCTGTGACGGTCAGGAACGGGAGACTTGCTACCCTGTGATCGTCAGTAGCGGGACTACTGTTCTGTGATGTTCTGCTGCCCATTAGGGGAGACCTATGTACTGCTTAGGAGGGGATACCTGCTGCATTATAGGGGAGATCTGATGTCCTACGTGTATATCGGTCAGTAGTAGGGGAGACTTGTTGCCGCTCTGTGACGATCAGCCGATGTGGTGTCTTCCTTCTGGCACTTGTAGAAGGTTAATACGGTGTCGGTCTGTTGCAGTTTGTATCGGTGAGGTGACGGCCCCGAGTCCCGGTCAGAACCGGATCTGGTCCGGCAACAACACGGTCGACACCATCGTCACCTACGAGTGTGTGCCCGGCATGGAGACGGAGGAGGGCACTACCTATCAGACCCGCAACTGCACCACCGACGGCTGGACGCCGCCGCCGCTGCCGTGTGACCGTGAGCCACGCGCCGCGGGAGGCGGCTGCAGCCGCGTGACCGCGTAGGCCGCACGCCGCAGACAAGCACCACTGTCTAGCGTTGTAACTCGCGAGGGATAAGTGTTCGGACAACTATCAGTAACTTAATGCAGATGCTAAGATACTCTATTACCCCTACCATTGCGCCCCCGGCACATATAGACTAGTTATGTTTACCTACCGATTCTAGTAAATGCGATCGCCTCAGCGACAATTAGCTCCTGGCAGTGTCAGTGCCAGTGTCACGCCCATGTCAACGTGACACGAATATCGATCAGAGATCGAATCATCGATCATCAATATCATCGATCGAATACCGATATCGGTCGACTATCCCTCTGAAGTTGTCTGACAACCCTGATCTGACGAACACCCCTGGTCCTGCCGCAGTGTGCAATTTGGCGCCGGGACCGCGCCACTACATGAGCCGCGACTGGAGCGGCAACCGCACCGTCAACAGCACAGCCACATACACCTGCCACGGCAACCTGACCACGATGGCCAACGAGACTGAGCAGACCATCACGTGCACAGAGACCGGCTGGAGCGCCCCCGTCCAGCCCTGCGGTGAGCGCACCGCGCGCCTGGGCCCCGGACAGAAGGCGTGGTGCTGTGATTCGTGCTGGCTGGAATTTTGAGGGTGTGACTGTGGATGGATGGGGGGGGGGGTAAAAGGTGGAATCAGCGACATGCATGGAGAGGTGGTAACTATATAGTTTTGGGGAGATGAAGGGTGGTGTGGGCAACTATTTGTCGAATTCCCTCCTTGACTGGTTTGGAGGGAGGCCGGGGGGGGGGGGTATATCGCCAACACTATACATCCTAGATACAGACCTCTGCCTCGATTGTGCTGCTTATTTTTCCGACCAACTGCCATAGTGAGGTTTCGCGCTGTTCCCTTATTACCAAATGTCATTTCGTATTCAGCCCACCGATCACCATATTGCAACCATCACCAAGCCGTGGTGATGGGACCCAGCCATCTAGGAGTAGGAACCAAGCCGTTCTGCGTGTGACCGCGGCCGGCCTGTGCGCCGTCTGTCACCGCTGTCGTCTGACGCCGCCTCTCCGACAGCCATGTGCAAGGACCCGATCCCGGACGCCGGCAACTCCACGGAGCGCAACATGACCTCGTGGGTGGGCTGGCGGCTACCGGGTGCCACTGTGGAGTACCTGTGCTCCACGGGCGCCGTGCAGACAGTGACGTGCACGGGCAGCGGCTGGGAGCCCGAGGTGCTGCCGCCCTGCTGTGAGTCGGCGCCGCCGCCCCCACCGGCCGACCGGCGCCACCTATCGTATTACTGGCTCATTGAAGGCTTTCATAATAAGGCTGCCGAGGGCCAGAAATGCGCATTTATTCAGACAGCTCTATATTAAATATGGAATGATATTAATACATTATATTCCATTGCAAAAATCCAACTACTAATGGTTACATAAGTTTTATATAAAGCATATCTATATAAACACAAATCTGCTTGCAAAGTTGGGCCACTGTCTCTTCTCGTGCCCGCCGCCCAGCCCTGGTCTAAACCCCTCTCATCCCCTTTAACCTATGGTCCTGCGTGAGTGGTGTGACAGGGTACGAGCGAATGAACGTGAGGCGATGGGATGACTGACACTGGTTTGCATGCTGCTACTGCTGTATGACTTTTCTGCGCTTAGACAGGCTCTGCATTGTGACATGCTCAGCGAATAATTCTTCAGGTAGCTCAGGTACTGTACTCTACAGCCCGTGCCTTATCCGGTAAGCTGCAGTGATGGGGATTAGTGACCTCACGTATATCAACTCACGTGATCGCTGGTTCCACAATTCATAGATCACAACTCTTGAGTTAGGTTTGTGGGAACCGTGGTAGCCATTCCAGCGCGAAGTGTTTTAAGCCAGTGTTTCGTTAGTATATCAAAAGGTATGATGTGTCCTATATATTATGTGTGTAGTTTCAATCATTTCTTTTAGAGGACGAATTAAAGGCGTCAATATGACCCAGTCCGATACGAAACTGATCGATGACGTATCTAACTGCGCGTTTCGAGTCCCTCAGGTTTGTCGAGGTCATCATCTGGCCTTCTTCGTCCTGGTGGACACCGCTAAAAGCCCTGCTGCGGGCGGCCTTCCACTGGCAAGCTGGCACGTCCTCCCGGCTTCAGGAATGCGGGATGGAGGACACCCTAAACGCGAATAGGGGCATCTCCCAGCCGTCTTATCGGGAGTTGATGTTCCCTCAATGTAAGGGAATGGAATAAATGGAATGATGTTCCACCATTGAGTGAAAAACGGAGAAACCGCTGTCGACAACGCAGATGAAAATCATCTGTTTTATGGCTGTGAATTTTGTGCTGTTTTATTTTTGTGTTGGGATCAAGGCTGGGATTGATGTTAATACCCACCACCAGCAAATGTAACTAAATGTGTCAGACTCTAGTGTTTGCACATATTTATCAAACCGTAGCATGGTAGCATAGCTATATCGTTTAACGATGCGATGACGAACGATCCCCTATCTTTCGTGTAAATGAATTAAATACTGGGAAATAAGACAATAACTAGGCACCAAAAGCGTCGAACAGTAGACACTTTCACCGCACGTGAGCCTAGGGCTTCTCAAATCCTCAGCATACTCGTGTCGCGCTGTACATACATAAACCAAGTTAGTGTCGCGGGACACTATTCCTCATGTCAGATGAGTTGTGAAAGGTGGCCGTGATTTCCTGCAATATGCCGCTTTTTATCAGTCTGAATATATGTTAAGACCGGCAACGCTGAATTTCGGCAGACGATAGCGGCTGTGCTGACAATACGTAAATCGACTGGGAAGGCTGAGAAAGATGTGTGATACTGTTCAGTGCTCAGCACATTCACGTAAAACCCATGCACTTTACCTCTTTGAAGACTGATCTATTTTCAATGCATCTTACACGCACATTTGTCAATCATCTCGCATGGAAAGCAGCAGTCACACGATTTTAGCACAATTAAATACAAACGGGAACATCACAAAACTACCATAAAAACATGGCCATCACAATCGCGTATTACGCGCAATCGTCGACTGAAGCTAGACCTGTGTTTAACCATTGAGTTCGTATCGAGCTCAAGCCATGCCTCATCTGGGTACAAACTGGCGGCATGACAATGCCCCACAGTAATGCAAGAAGAACTAAAACTCTCGGAAGTCTGCACTGCGTGAAATAGTCCCTGATCAAGTCAACATTCGCAACACGCCTCCCCTGCCGGACGTCTCCTGCACAGCTAAAATAGGCACCAGCAAACATGGCGAGTATAAGGTGACTTTGCACTCGTTCATCACCCCCACCTCATGACATACGAACAAATCGGCCAGCGTCACCGTCTTACTGTCAGCATACAAACCAAACCAAACGCCCGCGCTCTACGAGCCACAGCCGAAGACCGCCGCACGGCCTACTTGTCCGCAGAGGTGGCGGCGGCCTGCGCCGCTCGATCCTCCTCGGCCTTTTGCGCGCGCAGCTGGCGGTGGCGCTCCAGGGTGCGCTTCTCCACCGTGTCGCCGGCCCTGGCGCGCTCCTTGCCCGTGTAGACCATGGCGAGGGCGGCCATCACCGTCAGGCCGATCATGACCAGGTTGGCGCGGATGCGGAACCGGTTGCGCGCCTGTACGATCGTCTGGTAGGGCAGCATCTCGGGTACGTCTTCGACAGACTTGTAGCGCTTATCCCAGACTAGTGACTTCTTGTCAATGTACTGTGCACGCACCATCTTCTGGCTGGTGTCTGCCGGCGATGAGCATTGCGCTAACTTTGTCCCTATCGTGGTATGCGTTTACCAATAAATGAAATACAACCCAATAAATAGTTACCTACTTAATATAACATAGAAACAACCAAATAAATAAAATTATGCATGAAGACATTCCACATGCAGCCAACCTCACAGTGAAAATAAACTGATGTTGAGGCGGTTCTGGCAGTAATATTAGGGGAGAGTGGGGAAAGATGCCCAGGGTTTGACTATGTCATATATTATTCGAAAATGACGATCGGAAAGCCAAAACTTGGAGTTTCAACGGAAGCCGACATCATTTTTCTCCAAAAATATCACACTTTCGTGCCTGAAATATGATAACTTTTTTTGCTAATAACCCGCGCCCCGTAGGGCTACCGGCGGACCCTACCACCCGTAGGGGGGGGGGGGGGCCGTTTCGGCCCCCCCCCCCTAAGATCTCGGAAAGTTACCGGCCGATTTTCAAAATTCAAACGGCGTTCGATAGCCCCACCCGGGAACTACCTTGTGACCAAATTTCATTGACCTAGGTCAAACCGATGACGTCACAGGTCAGGTCAAAGGTCAGATTTTCACCGTTCACAGGCGATTCAAGAAATGTGCTGTGAAAGCGAGTAAATTGGTAATTTATTGAAAACCATCGATGGTACATTGTTCGTCAAACACATACTTTGCTATCTGAGGTCACTGATACCAGGTCAGGTCACAGCGAGGTCAGGTCACCGGGGGTCACAATATGAATGTGTCGTGTGATACATGTTTTATGGTCCATTTTACATGACAAATGCGATTATGTTGGTTAGGCAGCCTTTGGGGCCAGCCTAGGTCATGTTTTGGTGAAGGTCAGGTCAAGGTCAGGTCAAATTAGGTCAAATTTCAAAATTGATATTTTTGCATAAAATGGGTATTGATTCGATGCAGCTCGTCACGGGGAGTCTAATGGTGGTCTTCGTTTTGCTCTACGAGTTCTAGAATTGCCAAAAATTGAGTTTGAAAATTTGACGTCATCATTTTTGAACAGTTTTTTCGCTATAACTTGGCCAAAAAACGAGGTATCGATCTGAAATTTGGTATGTGGATAGATGACGGTAGGCACTATCACATATATTCCGGTTTTTTCGAAACTCAAAAAACTTTTTGGATTTTTTGGCGAATATATCCAAAAAAATGTTTTTTTGATTTTTGGGGGTGAAAACTCAAAAATTTTAAAAATTCGAGATAACAGTTTTGTAGCCCTGTCAATTCTACACATTTTATGTTTTGATCATTTTTCTGTATCTTCAAAGCTGTAGTCCTGACAGGTCTTCTCGCGAAGGTCTTTTTTCGGTCGAAAATGACAGAACATGACGTCACTCTGACGTCATTTGTGGCCAACCTATCATAGCCTCTGGAAAAATTTTTGGTCACAATGTGTAAAATTGATGCCCGGAGGGGTCCTGAAAGTTTGGTGGCGATATCTCCAGCCGTTTAGGAGATATCGACCGAAAAGGACAAGGGGGGGCCGTTTCGGCCCCCCCCCCTACGGGGCGCGGGTTAAGCATTTTCCTGAAGAAGTGAAAGGGGGCATCTTACCCCACAGGGTGGAAAAGACGCCCCCTGGCGCTGGGTAAGATGCCCCCTGCACTAAAAGTGACATAAATAGGCACGTGAATCGCCTGAACGAATCAGTAGTCCCTTCGAGCCTGCAGTAGACACCAAACGTCATCGTAAGGGCCCTCAAAAGTAGTCGTAAGGGGCTTCAGAGGTCATCGTTAGGGCCATCATAGTCCAGCGTGGCCAAACAAGCCTCCGTGGTGGCGTTCGGAGACCACTGTGGGGCCCTTATGGGTCTTCATGATGCTTGATGGCCCTCGAGCCCATCGTGGGGACCTCAGATGCCAGGGCGGCCCGTGGAGCCAACGTGGGAGCCCTCAAAGGATGTCGTGAGGGGCCCTACATAGAACCAATAATGGGGCCCACAGAGGCCGTCGTGAGGGCTCTCAGAGTCAGATGCCGCCCAAAAAGTCGCTGTGTGGGCCGAGAGACCGGCATGGGGAGCACCCGACCGTACCAGACTCTCAATAGTCCCAGATCGGCTTTTGTCTCTCATCACAAGTATGTAATAAATGATTTGACGGGCTGCTTGAAGGACAGCCTACGGATTTAGGGGGCGTCTTTCCCCATCAGGACAGGGGGCATCTTACCCCAAGGTACCGAAGTAACATTAAATCAGCACAATTTGTTAGCCATAAAACTACACCCTGAAACAAACTGTTTGGGACACAGTACACGCATGTTAACCCTCGCCGGACCTATTGGTTTTCTACATACGCGCCGGCCGAGGGGGGGGGGGGCGGGTACGACCCCCCCCTCGCCGTTTCGCCCCTGGTGGAGCTAGCGCGTCGCGGAAAAAACAAGCGTGTGCGCCGTTACGAGACGCAGAGATTGGTACCCGATTTTAAGGTCCTAGGTCAACCGGTGACCTCTGAGGTCAGGTCAAGTGCCCCAAGGTACGGTTCAGTTTTTGGTGAATAACTTCGCAAAAAACGGCCGCAGAGCGCCGATGTTGGCAGCATCGTGTTCGTCTCGCTCAGGCGCGTCGAATGATATACTTTTTGTCCGGGTCAGGTCAACTTGGGGTGTTGACCTCAGGTCAAGGTCAGGTCAGCACCCCCAGGTCACGAAGCTGGTCGAAAGAGGTCATGTCGCATATCATTCGATTCGGCAGGTCTTCCTGAGTCCATTGGTGGCTTTCCCGACTCGCTAGCTCAATTTGATCAAGAGTTATTGACGAAAAACTAATATGACCTTGATGACGTCATAAATGACGTCACGCAAGGTCAACATTGCAAAAGTGACGCATCTAACCTTGCAAGGAGTGCATCAAATCACGATTCTGTATGCTTGAGCTAGTTGGAGATCGTTCCCGGCGCCAGAATAGCAGTTTGAATTTTTCCCCCTTGACTTATAATGGTGAGGTCACGAAAATGACCTGACCTTATATGACCTTTAGGAAAAATCCGAGATATACAAGTTGTGGGACTCATAATGGATACTAGATCCTGCAAGTTTCATTTCCCTGTGACATCTCCTCTGGCAGTGAGGGCGTTGCGAAGTTGCAACATCTGAAGACCGTGCAGAGGTTCACTTATGACGTCATAGGTCAGTGACCTGACCTGACCCAAAAATGCGGTTGGTGTCAAAAGATCCGGCTTGGATCAAAGGTCAGGTATGCCAAGTTTCAGCTCTCTATCGCCAGCGTGTTCGGAGCTATCGCGAAAAAACCCTATGGGGGGGGGCGGCACCCGCCCCCCCCCCCTCGGCCGGCGAGGGTTAATGTATCACGACTATAGCAAGGGACGCAAAAATTATCTACCTTTTTTGATATTTACAATGTTTTGACGCCAAAATATTTTTTGAAAGCAGCAAATAAAAAACATGCAATCACCAGCCAGCCGTTGCCCAACTGAACTTCGCAAATTTTTGTGCAGTTAACAAGGCAGGCTTCTTCTTTACGCTAAGAACATTAATTTCCAGGTTCGATTCTTTGTTTCCCCGCTAGAGGGGGTGGGGCGTCTTTCCCACCCTGGGCATCTTACCCAACTCTCCCCTATTGAACCATTTGTCTCACAACTAATTAGTATGGCCCTCATAAGGACTTGTCATAACTATGGCATAGATGCCATGGAGGTCCATGGCCGGGCCATCCTACAATGTAGCACTAGCATCCTGATACCATGCAGGATAACACAGAAGTGATGTTACCTATGTAAAAAATAGAACAAATAAAAAATGAAACACAAAGTGTAACAAATCAATTGCCCACCTAACTACTATAATATAGGATTACGGGACAAATCTTAGCTTGGGCAAATATTTTATTGGCTGTTTTTCAACCTAGAATAAATTGAATAAACATAAAATGACCTAGCCTGTCCCCAACGTTACCCATTGTACCCTTAGTTTAAACCAATGCATAGGTTTAAAGGAAGCATAAGGAGCAGAGATTTGTCACAACATCATTTGTCATGTGATAAAGTAGGGATGAATCAGACTGCAAACCGTGGCAGGTTCGACGAGATCTCGGGAGTGCACGGGGCCTCCTCTAGCCTTATTCAGGCGTGCAAGGCACAGGCCATACGTGCAGGCGTGCAATGACGAATCAGGGCGCACATGCCTGGAGAGCTCTCACTCTAAGCTCTAAGCTTGCTAATGAAACAAACGCGAAATATGGGGACGGACGTCGCAACTACCGTGCATTTTTTTAGTGCCGAGCTCTGTTCATTGGGGTCAAATGTGCGAGTATGACAGGTCACTAGTCACCAATTCAAACGTTTTCACTGCGGCTGGCGTATACGAGAGACGGGCGGAGGGACCTATGTCGAACGGTGGACCTCGGTTCGGTCGGACCCCTCCCAACCGCTCGACACTTGATCGAGCTAAAGCCTCGCGGAAAAAAAACGAGCTATCGCTCGTGACAAGAGGAAGCAAATGCTAACCGATTTTGAGATCTTAGATCATTGGCTGACCTTCCAGGTCAGTTCAATGACCTATTTGTCAGGAAAATCAGGACCTGCTAGATTTTCTTGAAGTGCGGCAAATCAGCCATCTCTGGAGTATTTTGGAGGTCCTGAATCGGAATTTCACACTAGTTTTGATTGACAATGCATTTGTGAATTTGGGGTAGGTAGGGTGTGGGTCAGTTCAGGTCAACCAGCATTTGTCCCACAAATTGTTTTTGGCATGTATTTACCATCAATGATGCCTCCTTCACATGTTACAAGCTACATAGTTTAGAAGTAGTTCCCAAATCCTAATTAGTGATACATTCATTGTCGCCTGTCGGCTCCAAAAACTAGTCAAATAAGCATAAAAAATAAGAAAACCGGGGTCACCAAGTACAAACTGACTGGCTCAGTCAAGAGCATTGCAACCCAGCCCCCGATATAAGTGTGAAGGTTAGGTAATGTATGAAAGACATCACTGACAAAGTTAAAAGTGTCGCTCGCTGGTACACTTTAAATGCCAGCCACCAGTTAAGTTTTGCTACGATGCTCAATATCGTGTGTAGTGTACGGGGTGTAACTTGAACTTGAAACAGAAACGCTGTGTGTCGGGCGTGCAAAGTACAGACACAGGCGTGCACTCCTACTTGCCAGACATGCACTCCCATCTTACCCATCTAACTGGGTACACCTCGGGCATGCACGAGCCACGCTTTGCAGTCTGGGCCGGATGATGCTGTCTTGGGAAACCATACCTTGTGCAGATGGCTCAGGCTTTTCTCTTGAATTATCACCTTCTGCTGACTCTGTGACATCCTTTATCTTTGATTGACTTGATGCAAAAGTAGTTATGCTCTTTGGTTGAAGATGGGGTCTTATCAGTCTCCCACAATTGAGACCATTCCTCAAACTTGCCATAGTTTTAAGCTGCAGCGGCAGGAAACTGGTAAATAGTGCTTGAGCAGGCATTACGAGAAATCGATATATCAGTTGCTCATAGAGCAGAATAGCGACCAGCAGCCTTTACAAACAAATTAAAAATTTTGATGAGCATGAAACTATAAAAAGAAATAGCGGTCTCGAGCTCGAGCCTATCTTACCTAATATTTTGCCGCATATGTCAACAATGGATAGGTGTTCAAAATGACGAGGCTAGCGAAGCGCGAACGTCCCCGAAATCAAACGAAGTAGTTGATTTGTTCCTTTATGTCCGCAAGCAGCTAGCAACGCTGTAGAGGATAGCTATTGAACACCACCTCGTGGTTTGTTATTGACTCGGACCCTCGTAATGGTTGGCTAATGATATAACGATAGGACTTTCAGACTTTGACATACTCAGATATATCATATGATTTTATTGTCTTTGTCATAATCATCAATGATAATAGTGCATTGTCGCTATAACTGTCCATATAAATGGGTGCCACTTTTGTTAGTTTCAATGGTTCAGGTTGTTCCCTCCATCCTAGGTTTCAAACTTTTGAGTCGTCAGTACTGTCAAAATGTTAAAGCAGTGAGAGGAAAAGTTATGGATTTTATTTTTTATGTGGCTAACAAGTAAAACTGTCAGCCAATGACACTGTTTAGACAAAGCTTAACAACATGGAGGCAAGGTTTGACGTTATTGGCGGCAGAACAGGGAGAGCACCGGGGCACCGTGCCCCCTTTGATTCTGGCCTGGCATTTTAACATTAGCCCTATGGGCGCTGCATGGAAAGAATGGGACCAAAAGTTGGCAGTGCCCCCCTTAATTGAAGGTGTTCTGCCGCTACTGTTTGACAGTCACAGTGACAACCAGTCAAAAGTCTCGCAACATCCTGATCCAAGACACTGGTTGAGATTGATGCACCTATAGTTGTCTCTTGTGAAGGTGCAATGTGACCTCTGGTTTCAGAGCAAATGTATTTTGTCATAAGAGTTTGGCCTGATTAGCTGCAGGTCCCTTTGTTCAGTAACAAGGAAGAGTTTCATAAATGCCTTCTTTGAGGTCATATATTGCATCAGACTTGGTTAACCCGCGCACCGACGGGGGGGCGGATATCCGCCCCCCTTGAGGTTTTTCGCGAATAGCGGAAAAACCGCGGCGCGTAGCGCCGCGAAATTTGGTATGACTATAACCTCATCAATTTTACACATGGTGTGCAAGTTTGAACCTCCTACCTTTTAAGGTCAGGTCACCAGGTCACTTTGAATGACCCAACCTCAAGTCACTTTTTTGCAACTTTGTCACCGTGCCAGAGCTACAGTAGATGTCGGAGGCCTTTGAAAGTCGCAGGATATTATTAGGTCATTATTAGCTACAATTTGTATATCTCGGAATTTTGATATCGGTGACCTAAGGTCAGGTCAATTTCGCGACCTCCCCATTATAAGTCAATGGGGGAAAAATCAACTCCCTGTTTTTACCACTAAAACGGGTCGGAATGGCCCCATATACCATACATGACTTCATATACGATCAACCTTCACTACCTTGAGGTCTGTTTTGCTGTTGGGCAGCTGTGAGGTCATGTGACATCATCAAAGGTCACCAAAGGTTTTTGGCCAATAACTCCGTACAGGAACAAGATACAGACGCGTGGATGGTCTCATTGTGTTCAGCTCGTCAAGACGCATCGAATGATATACATGATGACCTCGAGGTCACGTGACCTGAGGTCAACCTTTGACCTTGACCTTTCGAGGTCAACATATATATCATTCGATGCGGATTGACGAGAGGATCACGATGATGCCCTTAGTTTGTTCCTATCTTGACTAATTCGAAAGTTATTCGAGAAAAACTCTCCATATCTAGCGCCGCCATTTTGACTTTTTCGACCCCTGTGACGTCATCTTTGACCTGACCTGAAAATGACCTTTGTAAAAATTGTAGATCTTGGCCGTGCGTATCCGATGCCGTTTACCGCTTGTCGCTATCTTGCTTCGTTCTCGAGATCTCAGGGGGGGGCGGTCATCCGCCCCCCCCCGTCGGTGCGAAGTTGGCGCAGACCCCCGTCGGTGCGCGGGTTAATATTCCCTTTGCTGAGCACAATTTATTTGTATGTATTATATTGCATCTACCTGAGTTTTGTATTTGTCCATATTCGTTGGTTTGGCCCCAATTTCACCCTTCATCTGCTGAACTTCTTTCATTGATCTCAATCTTTTTTCAGATGGAGCAAACCCTTGAGATTTTCTAGTTGAAGACAGAACTGGCAGCAAGAATGATGTGCAGAAGTGTGATGACTCACAGAGTCACCTATCAGGCTTTAAGAGCTATTAAAAACAATGGGATGTGGATGCAACCATCTCTATATGCATCCCCATTACCACATCACATGAGTCAGACTCCTGTTGGGACACATGGGCACACTTTGAGCTCTTTTGCTCAAAAGTCTCTCTTCTGCTGCCAAATGACACCTCTCTCCTCCATAATGTTGGAGCAGAGAAAAATGATGTCAACTGACGCTGCCAGGTCTGGAAACCTGATGGACTTTCCACACATTCTCTTTCCAAGCTTTATGAAAATGGCTAAAAATGTATTTTTCACCTGGTTTATCATCAGGCCATATTTAGACCCAAACTTTTCTTTCAAGTCCTTCATGGATGGAGCCAAACAGGTAAGTCACCAAATAATGGAAAGTGCTTTTGCATGCAACACACATCTCTTTTACACGATAAAGGTATATTTGTTACGAAGCTGTGCTTATGATATTATTTCATATCTGATTGTCAGTGCATAGGGTCTCAAGGGTTAAAGGGACCCTCCCACCTTCAAAAAGTTTATGAATTGGCATGAAAGTGATGTCGCTCGGTTCAGAAAGAGCGAAAACGAATATCTACCAAATTTCACCGAAAAATATTCACCGGTTTTCAAGATATTAGACATTTACTTTTGTTTACTTTTTGGGATCTCCGCTGTTCCTAGCGACTTTATTTGGAAGCAATAGTTTGGCAGCTGAAAGTGCGGCACTTGTTGCGCGCAAAGCAGCATATACCACCGCGTGCTACAAAACGTTTTAGTCAAACATTTAAAAATCGTTAAAGATCTGCGCTGACGTCACACATTCAGAGAGGTATTCCTATGCATTAGCCCCTCTGAATCAAAATGCTGCAATTTTGAAATTCAATATTTCCGATTTAAAGGGACCCTCCCACCTTCAATAAAGTTTATGAATTGGCATGAAAGTGATGTCGCTCGGTTCAGAAAGAGCGAAAACGAATATCTACCAAATTTCACCGAAAAATATTCACCGGTTTTCAAGATATTAGACTTTTACTTTTGTTTACTTTTTTGGGATCTCCGCTGTTTCTAGCGACTTTATTTTAGAAGTGCGGCGTTTGCGGCAGATGTTGCGCGCAAATAGCATATACCACCGCGTGCTACAAAACGTTTTAGTCAAACATTTAAAAATCGTTAGATATTTACGCTGACGTCACACATTCAGAGGGGTAGGTATTCCTAAGCATTAGCCCCTCTGAATCAAAATGCTGCAATTTTGAAATTCAATATTTCCGATTTAAGACATTTCTCGATGTTGTGAGTGCCGAAACCGGTAATTGTGAGCCAGGGACCCCATTTTGGCTATCTCAACTCAAATCTAATGTTAAGGTGGGAGGGTCCCTTTAAGGCATTTCTCGATGTTGTGAGTGCCGAAACCGGTAATTGTGAGCCAGGGACCCTATTTTGGCTATCTCAACTCAAATCTAATGTTAAGGCGAGAGGGTCCCTTTCAGGGGTCACTACAACGCTTGTTTTTTCAGCAGTTCCCGCTGCGTTTCAGGCGATGCTGGTGGTGTCCGACCGCGTGTCACGGGGCGACTTTGCCGGCCTGCGGGGGCTGGTAACACCCGAGGCACTGGCCGAGATTGAGCGCAACTACAGCCGCCTCTCGGTGAAGGAGCGATGCGACCTACGGCTGCAGAGTGAACACATCGGGCCTATCTTTCCATACGAGATCGGCATGATCATCGAGGAAGAGGAAGGTATGTAACCAGGATTTCACTGTTGATGGTCGGAAGTGCTTAATTATCATAGGTTGTGTTCGTATGTGGAATCATAATCGTTATGTTTCAGTTAGTAGAAGCGTTTAATTCCTTTATTTACCGTAAAAGCAAGGTAACTATTTAGGTTTTGCCTGGTTACTGCTATCTTTATGTCTTTAATGTCTTTAATTGTTTAACAGAAATGGGAATCTCCAGGTAGGTAGTTTAAATGAATGTTCAGGGAATACAGTTGGTTATTTACCTTAGTAATCCCATAATGGAAATGATCTAATTGCCTATTCTGGTCGTGCCACAGAGTTGCAGAAGCGCTGGGTCGAGATCACGGTCTGCGCGCACGTGCATCCCAACTTCGCGTACCAGCACCATCCAAGCGAGCAGGGCTTCACGCCACCGTACCAGATGCCCGACTTCACAGTCTGCAATTACCGCTTCATCCGAAACTACACCAAGGGTGTCGAGGACACATGGACAGTGAATGTGGTCAACCACTTCAGGCCGAACGCCGACCAGGACGACTGACGCACCTGGAGGAGGTGCGAGACGCCGGGCGCGGAAGCTCAGTTGCTGGCCTGCGTTTATTTCCGCGTATGAGAAAGTATCGCCGATAACAGGATTATGTGCGAGAAGGACCGCGCTTACCTGGAGTCGCGCAGTTGTGCCAGGAGAAATACTGCTTTCTCATGAGAGCTTTTATGATGCATCGTTGAATGACTTTCGAAGTGCACCTTTTCGTTCTCGAGAGATCAATTTATGTGAATATCTGTTTTTAATAGGTACCTCTACAGCGTGCTCTGATTTGCCGGTTTGTACTTCTCAGTGGCGATTTTTGGCCCACATTGAGCCCAGACGCGTCTATTGGTGCAGCGCCTGCAAGGTCATCAAAAGTCCGGATCTCTCAATTGCTTTCTGAGGTGAAGCAAGCATTCGCGCGGTATGAGCGTTTCCGCGGTTTGAAGGGCATGTTATGTATGCAATATGCATGTTCCACGTGCGAGGTGAACATCAGTTACCTTGATTGAATGTAATAACATGTAGACTGTGCCACGAGTACAATCCCCATGTGATAATAAATGGCCTGGAAGCACCGGAGAATGATACTTACCGACCTCTCACCGCAATTCTTTCGCTCGTACAATGCACCAGTTGTGAATATTGGAATGTCAAAACGGTCTACTGCGCGACCCACGATAGGTGGTTCACTGGCGAATCAAAGGGGGGGGTG